TGGGGGAAAACCCTCCTGGGTTGAAGTAAGGGCGGCTTAATAGTGGGGGGAATGAGGAAATAAACCCACTGGTGCTGCAAAGGCAAATGCTCACTGCAGCCTGCGAGCAGGGCAGTGCCGGGCCCGTCAGTCTCCAAGCAGCAGCCACCTTGGAAGTCATCCCCCCCCTCTTCTTCCCCTACTTCCTTTGTTGTTGCTGTATAGCTTTGTGCAGCGTGGGATACGCTGTGGTTAGCTCAGGTCAGCTGAGCTGCGTCGCCTTTCAGCCTCTTTCTGCAGTGGAAGAGAGAGGGGGAAGCCTTTGATGGTGTTTAGCAGTAGCCAGAAGACTGGTGTGTTACCAGCACTGGTCACAAACACAGAGCAAACCAGCATGCAGACTGCTGTGAAGAAATGAACCCCCTCCCATCCAGACCCAGCACGGCTGGGGACAAGCTGCCAGGCAGGAGCTCTTGTGAGCCATGAGATCAGCTCAACAAGCTGCCTGCTCCTCTGCTCACCGGAGGAATGTATTCTGAGCTGACAAAGGGTAGGAGCTTTTCCTTTGAGAAGGGATAAATGCACCGAAACAAGGTAAGGCAAGGGGTGGGATAAGGACTTTCAGCCTTTAAAAACTCAAAAGTTGTGAGCTCTCTACTGAAACTGAAACGTCACCTCCTTTATGCAGCAACATCACAGAGATGTTTCCTTGTGCAGGTGCAGGGTTTGCAGAGGAAGATCTGGTGTTTAGTTTCAAACTGTGCTCGGTCGTTACAGTAGTGCAGGAAGTCATATCCTGCGGAAAAAGGAGTTTGTGTGATCTTTATGTAGTAACTGTATTATAAAGAAATTAATAAGTAGGCAACTCAGTTTCTGGTTATAATAATGATGCCTCAGTTTTATATTTGGAACTTGATCAAAAGTAGGATTTTAGGAGTATTTGTTATTTTGTGGGTTGTTTCTTTTTCTCTTTTTAACTTCCTGTGCTGGCCCATGGGGTCATGGTATGTGTTACTTGAAAATCTGATTTATCTCCTTAAAAATACTGGATCTAGACCTTAAGTTTCTCTTTACTTTCTCAGAGGCGGGTCTACAGAACAACAACACACGTACCACAGGAACTGGGACAGATCATGGATTCAGAAACGTTTGAGAAATCTCGTCTCTATCAGCTGGACAAAAGTACTTTCAGCTTTTGGTCAGGCCTCTACTCAGAGGTTGAGGGCACTGTAAGTATCTAAGCTCCACTCCAGCATTTGTGTGATACTTTTCAGGTACTTAAAACTGTGAAATACTTTGATTCTTTGTGATCCTGTGCATCTGCACTGGTGGCATTCTGCAGTCTTAGGTCAAACACTGAAATTTGGAAGGCCCAGGATTTCTTGTTTGTAGCTGTATTTACCATATAAAAAGAAGGAATTATTCAGACAGCACATAATTTCTCTGTGCAGTGCTGAGTCATACTGTACAACTGCAACATATACTCTGTCACGGTTTCCACTGCCAAATAATTAAGCAATTTTAGATTAAATTGTTACAATACAGACCTTTTTCTGTGTTTGGAGGCACGTAACTACTTTCACTTCTAGGTAAAACTTAAAAAGAAGGTAGAAAGAAAAGCTTGGGAGAACAAGAAGAGTACCAATGGGTACTTCTTAAGTATAAGAACAATAGTACTGGGGTCAGTAGTGTTTTCATGTATGAAGAACCAGAGCCATTGGGCTAGAACAAAGTATTTACATGTGTGATACACAAACAGTCTTAAGAGAACCATTTTCTGACTGACTGCTGAAACGTGCTGCTCCTCAGTAGCACAACTGGGTCAAAAAGGAATTCTGAAATGTCTGGCATTGCAGAATATAATTAGAGTATGATCTACTACGTGATGAACTTAAGGAAGCAAAAAGGTCAATTATAAAAGGTACTGAAAATAGTACTGTAAGATAGTGTAAGTGATGTAACTCTGGAGCTGTGATGCGAAACTTGTTCTTAAGCATCGCAACCCCTCTTAACTTTTGCATTCCTTATCTCTTTGTGCAGCCTAACCTGGGCTTTGTTTCATTTTGTAGGAGCTTGTCAAAATGTACATGTGCCCAGGCAGCTGAGAAGGCCAGTGGCATCCTGGCCTGTATTAGCAATAGTGTGGCAGCAGGGCCAGGGCAGTGACTGTCCCCCTGCACTGGGCACTGGTGAAGCTGCACCTCAAATCCTGTGTTCAGCTCTAGGCCCCTCACTGCAAGAGAGACATTGAGGTGCTGGAGCGGGGCCAGAGAAGGGCATCGGAGCTGGTGCAGGGCCTGGAGCACAAGTGTGATGGGGAAGGGCTGAGGGACCTGCCAGGGTTTAGTGTGGAGAAGAGAAGGCTCAGGGGGGACCTGATCGCTCTCTGCAACTGCCTGACAGGAGGATGGAGCCAGGAGGGGGCTGGTCTCTGCTCCCAAGGAACAAGGGATGGGACAAGAGGAAACGGCCTCAAGCTGCACCAGGGCAGGTTAGATGGAGCTGAGGAACAATTCCTTCCCCAGAGGGTGCTCAGGCATTGGAACAGGCTGCCCAGGGCAGTGCTGGAGTCACTACCCATGAAGGTACTTAAAAGATGTGTAGATGTGGCACTGAGGAACATGGGTTAGTGGTAGCCTTGGCAATGCTGGGTTAACAGTTGGACTTGATGATCTTAAAGGTCTTTCCAACCTAAATGATTATGATTCTTTTCAACAATCAAGCTGAGATCCCTGATGTGTATGGTGTGTGCAGTTTCTTCTCTACATGTATGTGATGATGAGTTACTGCTCTTCTCTGGGATACTGAGTTGTGTCTTTCTGTTTCTCAGTATCTGTCCTGGGATTATCAGATTCCAGCAGAGCTGAAGCAAAGTGGCCTCTACTCTCTGGGTTTGCCACTTCCTTAGAGTGTAAACTGCATCTTTTATTGGCTTTGGGAACTGCCTGGACTTGAAAGAGGCTTTTGTGGCCAAAGTTGGTGAATGGGATGGCAGTTTTGCAACATTTTCCAGAAGTATGGTAGAAGTATGATTCAATTAACCAAGTTAATTGAAGGGGAGATGCTAAGCTAGGATTACTGCTATGCTTTATTTCAGCCTTTAATTATGTGGGTTTCTTTTTACCTAATAAGTAGTGTCAACATCATGCTAATAGCTGTCATTGTTCAGGGGTTGGTACTTTGGGGATTTCCAGGTCTGAAACCTACATGTAGCCTCCAAAGGAGAAACAAGCTTGCTTTGATGCTTTCCATCTCCTGCTGACACTCAAAATGCACATTAATAGTTAGGTTATATATAAGAGCAAGCCTTTTAAAAATAACTAAGTAAAAACCAGGCCCTGCCTGTACTGGAAGCCTGCCTACTTGCAAACTCATTTTTATATATAGTGATGCATAACTTGCTGAGAAAGTCAGTATGAAACATTTGGAAGTCAAGCTGTTTAACAAATGCTACCATCTCCTGCCTTGAACTACAGTTAGCACTTACTTCAGTGGCTCTGCATCAAGCATGTCTTTGATGGTGTGTCCTGAGTAGTCCACTCCCTTGGCAACCTGTATGGCTGGAGGCATTGCCAGGCAGGCACAAGGCATAAAGTTTCCTTTAAATGTCTGAAGCAGCACCAATACTGACAAGTGTGATTACAGCCTTGTTCTGAATGCCTTTCTCTGGGTAGGGTATGCAGGAGAGACTGTCCCAGCTCAGTCAAGTTGCTGAATCTTGCAAAACCCTCCTAGAGATGTGTTACCCAGCCACAGGGCAAATGAGTTTTAAGGTCTTCTGAGAAATATACCTTACGGCTGAGCCAATATAGCAGCAAAGTCTACAGTAAGTTGGCTTGGAAATGTGCTAATATTTCCCAGGAGAAAAAAAAAGCTTGACCTGATCTCTACTTCTCTAAAGTAAAAATGAACCATTGCCAAATGCTCCAGGCTTGCTTTATGCACTGCTAAGATAAGAGGGGGACAAAAAGCCTAATTATCAAACTTTTCTCATTCACCCTTTAAAGGTCCTGAAATTCTAGTGGAGTAAGATGACAGTCTGTTTCATATTGCCTCTGTGGTATGTGGTTTTGTTTTCAAGATGATTCTCCTCTGTGGAGGAATTCCTTTTCTCTGGAATCTGTCTGGCCAGATCTCTGGTGGTGCTGGGTTTGGACCAGAATATGAGGTAAGCAGCCCTTAAATTTTAGTGAAAATACTTGGTCCAAACTGTTCGGACAAGTTTTATTTTTAAGTTTGCATTTAAGTGGGATTTAGCTACAGGTACAATATAGTAAAAATAACAGAGATTTTCTGCTGAACATCGTAATTGTGTGAATCTGAGAACCAGAAGCAGTGTGTGACAGGAAAGTCTCAAAGCTGCTTGTCAAACGGGTGGTGGCTTGGGTTTTGGAGGACTTTTTGTTTGGGTGTTTTCTTTTTACTAATCCGAGGTGTGATCTTCCTGCACAGTAAAAGAGTAGAAAATTAGAGGCTACCGTTTATATTGTCTCTGTGCTTTGGATGAGGTATCTATCCAAATTCTTATCCCAGATCCTTAGATTTACATTTGTTGCATCAGTATTTTTTTTCCTTTCTTTAACATAGTGAGTATTCAGTAATCTAATCATCACAATCATATAATTACTGTGAATTTATCCAGCTTCATCTTCTAACCAGTTTCAGTTAAACCACTGACATAAAATCCATTTTTAACACCCAGAATATTAATGTTAATACAGGTCAGTAAATATCAGGTGTATTTTGACTTTGTTTTCTTTCCCCCAGATTGTTCAGTCATTGGTATTTCTGCTCCTTGCAACACTCTTCAGTGCAGTGACTGGTCTCCCATGGAGTTTGTATAACACATTTGTCATAGAAGAAAAACATGGCTTCAATCAACAGGTATTGGAGGTAGCACTTGTACTGTCCTAACATCTTCAGTAGGTTTGGCTGGTTAGGTGGACTGGTATGTCCATATCTGTGCCAAAGGTCATTAGGTTTAGGAGCATTTCTACTCATCCTGCATACAAATAAGAGCAGTGACAGTTTGTTGGGCGTTGCAGAAGTACCCATCCCTCACCAGAATTCTCTGCCTGAGCCCATGCCTTTCAGCAGAGAGAAGTGTGTATTCTAGGACTGGAATGAAGACATTTCATACCTCAGCTGTTCATTTTTGGATGCACTATTCTTTGCCTTTCATAAGTCCTTCTTTGGAAGTCTGGATTCCTGAGAAGTCTGGGGCAGTCCTGAGTCATGAACACTGAACATATGAAACAAGACAGAGAAATTACTTTCCCCCTTATTTTGATTCACTTATTTCTTGTACCAACTGGTACTAAATGAGAGAATTCAGCTCTTCATTTGTATTCCTGTTAGGTACTCACTTAATATCAGCCCTGGCTTCCTTAATTTTTCTCACCAATTTAGTTTAACCTGCTTCAGTATCAGTTTTTCATGAGACTGGATTTTCCTTTTGGGAGAGCAGCCTCAGTCTAGGACACATCATTATCCATTTCATTCCCGAGCATAAGAGTTGTTTCTGCTTTTGGACCCAGCTAGCGTTGTCTGCAGTACTTTCTGTTCCAAGTCTACTAGGAAGTTGTTTCTTTGTGTTGCTTAGTTTGGTTTTTTTTACAGTAGAATGAGATTCGGATGGGTAGCAGGATGGAATGCTTGGCTCATTCCAGTAATGGTAGAGCTGCATTAGTACTTGCCAGTTTTATCTTCCTATGGAGGCAGAAGGACTGAGCTAGACATGAAGAAGAGGAATCAGTCTGTTTCTGAACTCAAAAATATGAATATAAATCTGAATTCCTGGTAAATTGGTAAACTGATGTTTCTTATTCCTTATAATAAAACAAGTAAGAGAATAAGTGAGGGGAGAAAAAGCTCTAAATGCAATGATTCAGTTTGCACTCTCTCTCAGTTAGCTTTAAAACAAATCTGCAAACCCTTTAAGTCCAGGACACAACCAAAAGTCAGAAGACTGTGAGTACTGGGGCTTGTACTAGAATTAGAGGAAACTGCAGTGATCCTTATGCCAGGAACTGAAGGCTGAGTCCAGCTCCAACCCACTTTGAGGTACCAGATGTCTTACAAACACAGTCTCTCATTTCAGACTGATGGGTTAGGTCCCTCAATGAATGGGACAAATTCATACTTGGTACCAGCTCAAACTTTGGAATTTCTAGCAATGATTCTCAGATGATTTTCAGAGAGACTTTTTGTTCCATGAAAATGAGGATTTCTCTTGGTCTCATGTGCCTCAGAAAGCAGGAAAGAGGCAGGGCAAAGATGTAAGATAGTGTGTGATTTTATAGCTCTACTCCTCCTAGATTGTGCAGCTGGAAGTGAAGAAAAGAGTTAACATGAAAATGTGAGCTAAATGGGTTGTAGTTGATGTTTCAGGAAGCTCAGTGCTGGCAGCAGGTTTCTGTAAGAAAAAGGTTCTTCTACATTATGTCAAGTGGCTTCTTTAGCTGTTCACTAAGCTAAGAAATGAAAATGCTGTGTGTATGTGTGTGTGTATACATAAACAGGCTTTTTTCTGGCTTAAATGAGGAAGCAGTAAAGGAGGAACACACTGTTGTGTATTTTGGTTTTTTCTGTCCTGGCTTGTACCAGTTTAAGAGTCTTGACCAAATGGAAACAATTTTTCCTTTGGCCAGGATGACCCACATTGCTTCTTTTCATGCTTCCCCTTTTCAGGAAGGGGGCACTGCTCAGTGGAATGAGCGCCACAAGACTTGCTTTTCAGCTTAGGGAACTGTTTTTGCTGGAAAAGGTAGCCCACACTACATGGGAGTATTAAAGGCAGGCAAGGACAGTATCTTCTGGTGTGCTCCAGCTGTGTGGGCATGTGTCCATACAATAGTGTTACTGCTGACCCTAATGGCTGCTTGGCAAGAATCTGTCACCAGTGTGTGTGACCAGAGTGTATATGTCTAAAGAATAGCCTGAATTTTTGGGTTTATGTCTGATTTGTGTTTCTGATAGTCATGGAATTCTGAGGCATCTATCCAAATTTCTGCTCCAAATCCTTAGTTTTTATTAAAATCTGTTTTACCAATATTTTTTTTCCTTTCCAGACAAGTTCCGTATCTTTGATGTAGTCTGGGCTTTTTAATACAGCCTTGTTGGGAAGGATCTTTACATGCTACCCCCTCACTTCTGTGCAGATAGCTGTAAGTAATGAAGTGAGAGCTAGTTGCGTGTCTGATCATACTGCAGAGGACTTCTATATATTTCCAGTTTAAACAATCAGCTTAGTGGTAACTGAGAGTTAAGATGAATGGAGGCAACTGCTTAAAGACAGTTGCCTCCATTTCAATAACTATGTTTCTTTAAGAGTTTCCCGTTCTCTAGAAATCCCATAATATCTTGGATGTAGATTGGTAAAGGAATTAAGGGACAGGTTAGCTTCAATTTTTCTTTCCTCCTTTAATGAAGTGTATGTGTGCAATACAAAATAAGGCTTCTTCCACCTTTTCTTAACTGACTCTTTCCTCATCGTTTTGTTTCTGTGCATCCCCTGAAGGGATGGGTTCATCATTAACCACGGTGGCACATCAATATTTACATTGAAAATATCACTGATATCTTCTCTTTGCAGACACTGGGATTTTTTTTTAAGGATGCTATCAAGAAGTTTGTCGTGACTCAATGTATTCTGTTGCCAGTGACATCCCTTCTGCTTTACATTATTAAAATAGGGGGAGACTATTTCTTCATCTATGCCTGGCTCTTCACGTTAGTTGTTTCCTTGGTGAGTATGAGAACATGTTGGGATTTCTTCCAAATGTTAGTTTAATTGCATGGCTCAGTGTGTGCAGAGGCTTAAAAAACATAACTGAAAGGAAATGGAGAAAAATCTACATCTCCCAGGGATTTTAGTGGCTACAAACTGCACCAGTGTGACTTGCTGTAAGTGTACTTGTTCAGGAATAATAGCTTGTATTAATTGTTCATATAAATGTATTAACTTAGATTTTATGTATTCAATACAGGAGTATCTTCATCAATTGAAAAATAAACATTCAGAAAGCTTTACTATAGATATTGGAAATACAACACACTGTGGTGATAAGTTTTCCTTTTTCTTATATATAGGAAGGGCACAAGGAGAACTGTGAGCAGTTTGGCAAGACAAGGCAGCATGTGCTTTGGGCAGTAAAGTTTCCATGGGGCTTTTCCTGCAAGTTATCAAACCTCAAATCTCAGTTGCATTTCTTTGTATTGAGATGAGTAGCAATTTGCCTGGTTCTGCTTTGATACACTGAGTTGGTAACTGATGTTTTTAGGGCTTATTGAGAGGATCTTTTCACATACACTCTAAGCCTCAATGGAACAGTCCATACTTGCAGGTTGTTCTAGTGTAGCCTTACCATTTGCAAAACCAGGGAGATATTAGTTCCTCATTAATATTTTAAGTCTTTGGTCTTAAAAGGCTTTATAGACTTGCTTTGTCATAGAAGGATTAAGCTGAAATATTAAAAGACCTAGTAGTTTCAGGATTGAGAGAAGATACAGGCTCTTCTGAAATGGCCTGCCCTCACTCCTACACCTAAGTGATTTTTTTTCCCCCTTAGCTTCCTTTATACCAGTCATGGACTGCTTTTATTCTTTCCATCTTTTCCTTAAAATATATATAGTAAAAAGTGTTTTATGATCTCATAAGAAACTTTCTGAATGTGTGATATAAAGTGCCAGGCCTCCCCATACTTGTACTTCAGCCATCGTCCTTCATACCAGAGAGGCTTTAACTGCTTGGCTTGCTTAATTGCAGCACATGTTCCACTGAATCATGAATCCTGGGCAATAGTGTCCATGGCCAAGTCCACCCCTCGATCACGAGCCCATCTATATGTTGTATCTCTGCCTGCATGGCTTGAGGTGTTGTGGGCCTCAAAACAATTCACCCTTATGTTTCCAATCTAAGTCCATCTGAGCTACTTCAATCTTAGCAGCTCTATCCACTTGTTGGTTGTTCTGGTGTTCCTCAGTGGCCTGACTCTTGGGAACATGAGTGGTGTACCTTCACCACCAGGTTCTGCACCCAGGCAGCGACCTCTTACCACAGTGCAGCAGCCCAAATGGGTTTGCCTCTGTGCTGCCACTTGCTCTGCTTCCATTGCTGCAACCACCTCCACAGAGCATTTGCCACCATCCATGAGGACCAGAACTGATGCCACATTTCCTTGTCTGCCACTTCCCTATCCCAAACTCGTATTTCATTTTTGCTTGAAACTGAGCTAACCATGTGTTTGTATGTCTTGTTCTTAACATCTGTATCATCTGGATGTGTTTGCAGGTGCTCGTTACAATCTATGCAGACTATATTGCACCCTTGTTTGATAAATTCATTCCACTTCCTGAGGGAGAGCTCAAGCAACAAATTGAAACAATGGCAAAGAGCATTGACTTCCCCCTGACAAAGGTGTATGTTGTAGAAGGTGAGATTTTTATTTTTATTTCTTTTTTAATAAAAAGACTTTGTCATTTTGAATTTGTGGGTTTTTAGCTTTGATTGTGTAGTAGGGCAGTTGCTTCTATTCCTCAGCCACTGTAATACCTGTAGTAGGGCAGTTGCTTCTATTCCTCAGCTACTGTAATACCTGTAGTAGGGCAGTTGCTTCTGTTCCTCAGCTACTGTAATACCTGTCAATGTCTGTACCATTTCCTTTTTTTCACTTTGAGGTCAGGAAAGTGAAGCTGAATGTACAGCCTTAACTCAGCATCAACTTGGAAGAGTTATTTTGGCACTGTAGAGTGGAAATAGCACAGTCAGAAATGGAAGCAGCAATGAAGATTTTCCAGTTTTAGAACTTCAAACCAGAGGAAAAGTTTATTGTTCTTTTTATCTTTTCTAGTCCCAGCTTAGCATTAGTTGTCTCATAGTCCTTGGTGAAACACGTGAGAAAGTTAGGAAAGTTAAAACCACCTATTCCTTCTTAGAGTGTTCAGATGGATGGCTTCTTATGGTGTGTCTGGGTGGACTCCTACCTTCTAACTGAGACTAATTTTCTCACTCTCTAGTAATGAATTTCTCATCCTCTTAGGTCATGGAATATAACATGGAGTGTGCCAGCTTCCATGTCACTTCCTCTCCCTTTCCATGTTCACGGAGCACGTTACTATTTGACATTTCCATTGTTACTCATTTTGCTTCTGAACTTAATTTCAGGGAATCCCACAGATTTTGTTCTGGTTTTGTGCCCCACCGATGAGGATCAGAGTTGCTTTTATGGCCTTGGTGAAAGCAGTATGAGATGGCATAAAGAACTGAAATGGTAGAGTTTTGCTGCAGGAGAGGGTGATGAAGGCTTTATTTAGCCTGGAAGCTGTGGGTTTCGAAACTTTGGGCTGGCCACATCCAGCTAGTGCTCTGCCTCAGTGCAGCCTGGAACTACTCCCTGCTTATCTTTAACATTCTCCTTCTAACCTCTTCATCCCTATCTCTTTTGGATCATCTGTGCTGGCACACTGAAAGAATTCTAAACATATTTGTCACAGGGCCTTTGCTAGAGGGCAGCACGTGTTCTGTGCAGAATGCTCTTTCCACTCTGAACCTGAAATTGCAATAGAAATGGCTTTTTTCCTGGATATTAGATCTTCATGTGACAGCTCTTTCGTTTTTAGTGGGTTTAGTGATTGCATGTTATGTATGAAGCAAATTCTCACTTGGAGTCAGTAAATGAGGTCATTATATCATTTTAAAATACGCTTCAACGTGCATATTTGTTTGCTTGAGTTTGTGGGGACTTTGAGAATCCATTGGGAAGAGTCTGGTCTGTGTAACATTGCCCAGTGTTCAATGCATGGGATTAGTCACATCGTGGTCTTTAATGTGCATTTTTCTCATCAGGTTCTAAGCGTTCTTCTCATAGCAATGCTTATTTCTATGGCTTCTTCAAGAATAAGCGGATAGTACTCTTCGACACCCTCCTGGAAGAGTATTCTGCATTGAACAAAGAGCCAGCAGAAGGAGAAGATGGTGAGAATGAAGATACCAAGTCTAAAACCAAAGTGAGTTCATCTTTGGTTTTCATCATGTTGTTCACATTAACTTCTTGGTGAGATATTCCCTTGTGTTTTCTAATGTATTTTAGAGGTCCTGAGTGAGATGCTAAAATCCAAAATCTAATGATTTCAGCACCAAAGGATCCTTGAGCTTCTACTGGGAATTTCTGGGGCTGTGTGAGTGGTACAGATAGCACCAAAGAGACCGCAGAAATCGACAGGGGCTTTAGCAGAACATTGGTTCCCTGCATGTGAAAAATGAGCCTTCCTTGAAATTGAATAAGGAACCTTTTCCGGGGTTTAGCTCGTGTTCCTTCTCTTGGGACTGCCACACCAAAGCTTCCTGTTAAAGGAAACACCTTTGACTCTCAATATGTCATTTGTGTGCCTCTTACTGCACACAAGAGTTTTGGTGTAAGAGGCACACGCACACAGACAGATCCACATGTGCATCTTTCCCCACCTGGGTCAAGAAGGAGATTTTGGCTTTTCACTGTCCTTTCCACTGACGTTCAGCTACCCAGCAAGACTTTACTGTGGCTTTTGTGGCTTCAGGAGAGTGTGGGGATGGTTAGAACTGATGGAACTTCTGACTTGCTAATACACCTTTAAAGTTACAGATGTCCCTCTTTCCTGATGATAGCTTTAAGGCATGTCATAGCATTTGTTGCAGAGGACAGGGATGTTGTCATTTGTTTGGCAAGGAACAGTAGTGCCTTGGGAGGGAGGCTACATGTTGAGTGTTGAAGGAAGTAGGGAGAGGACTTGGTGCTCAGTTCTCCATGTAAAGTCTGTGGTTCTGAACGTCTGCCTCAACTGCAGTGCCTTTTCTTGAGTAAAGAAACAGGATGAGATCAAGGGGTAGTAGGAGATTTTGGAAGGCAAATTTTCCAGGGTTCTTCCAGGTTTGCACAGGCACATCTGCATACACAGAAATAAAAGAACACCACCTCAAAGCAGAAAGCTTGTTGAACTTAAAAGTTTACTTTTTTTGTAAGCAGCATCTTGAAAAAGGCTCAGTGAGAAATTATGTGTGTATCTGGTGGTAGAAGTGATCTGCTAGCCTGATCTAGGGATACTTGAGTGACACAGGAAAGAAGAGACTAATAAGGAAGAAATGTATTCAGTTGTGTTCAGTCATACCTGATACTACTTTTGCTTTGTTATGTCCTCAGAATAAGAAGCAAGGATGTAAAAATGAAGAAGTTCTGGCTGTACTTGGTCATGAATTGGGTCACTGGAAACTAGGTCACACCATCAAAAATATTATCATCAGCCAGGTAAGTTATGATGAACAGGTGGTTTTCCTGGAGCTTTCTATTACTATTGCCATTTCCTAATGCCTGCTTCCAGATTTGTAAGTGCACATTCACACAATATACTTCTGCTCTGCAACAGAATGTGTTTGTTTTCTTTGCTATGTCTGCAGTGAACATGCACTGGCCTTTCTGCCCCTTCTTACTCCAGCTGGTTGTTTTCATCTGCTTTTGGCAGTTCTAAATGGTACTTTATGGACTGTTGCCCTAACAAACATTATTCACTTCCATGGTCACCATCTGAGATAGACAATTTCCTACCCATTGCTAAAACTCAGACAGATCCACCCAAAAGTTTAGCTAAGTTAATGTGAACCTTTAAGTTCTGACATCAATAGAAAGCATCTAAGAAAGCATGTCTGCTGCCATTTTAATTCATCTCAGCACCCTTCTGAAGTCAGGACACATGTTAACACTACTTCTGTGCCTGAATCTCGGGACCTTCTCTGAAGGGCAGTTTCCAGCCTTGTGCTAGGGAAAGGTTTGGATATATCTTGCCTTCCAGCCTGCAGGTTATTAGGCATTACCTCTGAGAAAGCTTATGTGTCTGGGAGTTTCTGTTAGTCTTGTTCCTTGGAGAGCTGAGAAGGAATGTGGTTGGGAATTATGAAATCTGACACAGGAGGGCATTCTTATTTATACTGAATTCTCATACCTTGTGCATTAATGATTGGTAAATAACTTTATTGTGCCATTCTTGGTGTGTGCCCAAATAGGGGTGAACATTGAAGCAACCTCTAGAAATTGCCCAAACTTGCCTTTGAAGAAAAGGAGCCTGTGATAGTCTGTTTACTCTTGCATATACCTGTAGGCATTGCAGAGCACAGGGGAATTCCTCCCCCAAACTTCCTACTTCAAATTTTTCTATTTGCAAGGCACAGCCATGTGCCTTCTGTTAAAGTACTGGATGCTCTGGTGTAGATCTTTCTTGTTCCAGGTTTCACTCACCCTTCTTTTCTCCAAGTTCCCAGCCTTTTTTGTTTCTCCTAGCTGCCCTCCTGTGCACCTTCTGTACCTCCATCATGTCTTTCTTGTGACATATGCACTGTTCCAGGAATACTGTTCCTGGAACTTTCCTAAGGCTATTCACAAGCTTTTCAGGCTGTAGACATCACTATCAAGCTCCTATTTAAGAAAATCTCTATCTTTCTGTTTCCACACTGGCTTTTTCTTATCCATGCAGCTGAACACCTCAGTGAGGGTTCTCTACTGCAATTATCTTCCAACTTCTGACATCAGTCTTGATCCCTACTAAATAACAGCTATGTTGTGGCACCTTCCACATTGCTCTAAAAAGACCAAACAGTCACTTGAGTGGATTAAGAAAGGTACTAATCATGTTCTCCAGAAAACTCGGTAAGGCATGGTCCTGCATCCTTCCTCTGAAAAGCTGGGCAAGCAGAGTGCTTGTACACAGTGGAGCTGATTTAGATGGAAGAATATATCATTTCCAGGAATAGAAGTATGACAAAGCACAGACACATTTTGTTTGGTTTTAAACTCTTTGGAAGCTGTGCTTCATTCCAAAGAGATGAAATCTACCTCGTACTCCCTCCTCACTTCTCTTCTTGCCTTTTCATCTTCCTTCACTGCTTAAGACTTTTTTGTAGCTCACTGACAGAAAATAAGTGTTTCTTTAGTGCATGCATTTACAGAAAGTGGGTAAAGGCCAGACGTTTGTTCCTCTTTGTGTGTTTGTTCTTAAGTATCTATTTGGGTGTTTTTTCAGTAGTGTTTCTATGCAAATCTGTAATGTGAATAGGCCATGTTTTAGATTTAGATCCTAATCTAAGAATGTTGTTTCCTTTCTCTAGATGAATTCCTTCCTCTGCTTCTTCTTGTTTGCTGTGTTAATTGGTCGAAAAGAACTCTTTGCTGCATTTGGTTTCTATGACACCCAGCCTACCCTGATAGGCTTGATGATTATTTTCCAGTTCATTTTTTCACCTTACAATGAGGTAAATTGATTTCAAGACGTAGATGCTGAAGTATCATACTATTTAAATAGTGATTTTAATTTGACTGGGGGGGTGGGGGGAAGTTTGAAGTTTCTTGGGGCTCTATCTGGTATCTTGTTTTAATAAGTAGGCTTATTGCTCCATGTTGGGAAGACCCTCAGTTTCAGGTGTGGCCTGGATAAGCTTTAGTGGGATCATTCTACAGCCACAGCGGTGTGTGGGATGTGGGAAGGTAGATAGGGTACTATTTACTGATACCAGAAGGAACTTGCAGATAGCTGAACTGTAAAATCAATTTTAATGTATTTCTCTCCACAGGTTCTCTCATTCTGTTTGACTGTGCTAAGCCGTCGATTTGAGTTTCAAGCAGATGCATTTGCCAAGGAACTTGGGAAGGCTAAAGACCTATATTCTGCTTTGATCAAGCTAAACAAAGATAATTTAGGATTCCCTGTTTCTGACTGGATCTTTTCAATGTGGCATTACTCCCATCCACCCCTTTTAGAAAGACTTCAGGCCTTGAAAGTTGCAAAGCAAGAGTGACAGGAATCTTTGCTGGTTCAGAGACAGTGCTTCCATCTCAGAAGCAAAGTTCAGAGCTGCGTTTTAATTTCTTTTTTTAAATGGATGATGCCAATTAAGTGCAATGTTAACAGCACCACACAGCTGAGAATCCTGAAACAGGTATTAAATTATGAATGACTTTTTTTAACAAAACTCTGGAAATTTAGAAGTACTGGGTGAAAGACCTTCTCCCCCTCCCCCCCTGGTTTTTATCTCTGTATCATAGTATAGACTTGTAAAGGGAGGAAAACAAAAGTATAGACTTCAAAGCACCTATTTTTCAGTTTGTGTATGCTTTGAACGTTGCTTTTGATCTTTTTCCCATTCCCAGCATTCTGTGAACTTTCCCAGGCTGAACCCTCTTCACAATGAAGAGGGTTTGAACGACTTGATTTCTTGTATAACACTGCTTGTACTCACCAGTCACTGTTGTGTGTTTTAAAAAGTTGAATGCAAGTACAGGCCTTTCTCCTGGGTTCATGTCTGTTCTAAGTCAAAATGCTACTTAATAAAACCTCCTTTCTCTGAAGTGTGGGAAGAAGGATGAATTACAGCTGAAGAAACATGCCATGGCTTCCTGGAAAAGGAGCACTAGTCAGTATTTGGTAGCATTACAGGGGGATTAGGTTCCTCCTCCACTGTGCTGTTGAGGGTGAGGAAGGATGTTAAGGGGAAGTGGAACAGGACCCATACGTTAGGAAAAGTTGCTAATTCTCAGTTCTCCCTTTGGCCTGTGAGCAGAACTGTTAACAGCTTTTCCATACCTCAGTTCCCCCAGTTCTGTTGTCCTTTGCCTAAATTTTCTGTGTATACAGAAGCATCAAGTCTATCAGAGCCGAACTTTCATTCTGAGGTTTGTCCTCTCCTCCATGGAGGGTTTTCCATTAATATGAATCCAACTAAAAGAGCAGTGCTGGAATACTTAGAAAATACTCCTTGATGTTGTTCTGGTATAAAGAGCCCAAGACACAGTTTATTCATACACATCAGCAAAGGACAAAGTGAATAGTGGTGGAAATGGCTTCTGCATTGATGATCTTAGGTTTTTCTGATGAAAGATGGAATTAAATTTACTCTTGTTAAAAATGAACTATAAATTTATCTGTGCCCTACAAATGTTTTGGACCAGACCGAATGCAAATAGTTCACATAAAACCCCAGCTTTTTGTGTCTGTGGTAAATGAAAAAGTTCTGCTCAGCTCTGTACAAAGAGAGAAGTTGAAGCCATTTCCCATTGTTTCAGATGTCAGAGTATTCTCAGAGACTTTACCATTAGCTTAAATTTGCTTTTCTGATTATAGGGAAAAATGCCTTCTAAGATAATGGGCATGATGATGTCTCAGGTGCAACAAGATAGAGGATGTTGCCAGAAGCCCTTTATATGCCTTATTTTAACTGTTTATACCCTAGTTGAATATAAAGCTAAATATGGACTTAGGAGACAGTTTTACAAATATGGGGAGCCAGGATTTGTCCTGTTAACTGCACTTAATAAATTGCCCTTAAAAATAAAAGGATTAACTTGAATCTGTCAATTCAGAAGAGTAAATGAATGTGTCAAGTGTTGGTTGATGTAATCATGTTAAATGTGCTCTGAAGAAACCATTTGTCTCATCCATTAGGAATTTTGTGACTATTTCAAAAGTTTAGCTTATAACAAAAGAGAGTAAAGTGGGATAATGGAGGAAATGCCACTTCCTATGGAACCATGAAATACTTAGGCAATGCAAACCAGCTTTATGACAAGGTGTGTGTCCTAGAATTAGCCACACATCCCTTGTGGTCAGTGACCAGTTTTGAGGAGAGAGGCAAGAAAATTAGCAAGAGTGGGCTTTTGTCTTCCATTACCTTTAGCTGATGATGTTCAGCTACTCAAAGCAAGAGCAGAAGGTTGCTGGCAGCACACCCCACACAGGTACCATGGGGCTGCTGAGCACTGACCAGTGGTGTCATGCTCAAAGCCTGATAGCTCCAGCTTCCCATTGCCTGCTTTACCAACTTTTCCTGATGGTGTAAGTAGAAGCCTGTGAGAGGACATGGTGAAGAAAAGTCCCAGGCCTTAGGAGACGGGAGGACTAAAATTGGGATGTTCTATGGAAATGGGCACAAATGCCTGCTTTGAGGCAGTTTTGGCCCATTTTGAGTGTGCACTTGCAGCCCAGAACCCCCCCGTGTGTAGTATGAGCAGAAGGTTGAGGTAGGGGATCCTGCCCCTCTGCTGTGCTC